CCACCGCCGGCGGCAGCAGGACCCACCTAGGGCCAGTCCAAAGGCCTTGGGGGGCACTAGAAGGGCTCAAGAGTACTATTTATCCTAGACCTAGCCCTGCTCTAATGTGTTTCTGGCCTCCCTTTTTACTCCCCCCCCCCCAGTTACACATTTGAAGTTTGGGGATGTTTTCATTTTATTTTTCCACAGCTCTTGAAATGTAGGTGTGCTTTATCATTCCTGTTACTACGTAACACTTTAAAGAAGGAAAGAGGTATCAAATCCCTCATCTACTACCAATGTTGAGAGCAGTTCCAATGAAAGGCCACCCATCCAAGCAACAGGCCCAAATACTGGGAATGGTCAGCCTTGATCAAGGGAACACCTCTGTTGTTGTGTGTCTTTCTGACTCTAAGGTTTCTGACCCTAAGGTGAGCCCATGGCATTTTCTTGACAAGTTTCTTCAGAGGGGGTTTGCCATTGCCATCCTCTGAGGCTGAGAGAGTATGACTTGCCCAAGGCCACCTGGTAAGTTTAAATGGCTGAGCGGGGATTTGAACCCTGGTCTGCAGAGTCGTAGTCCAACGTTCAACCCACTACGCCACACTGGCTCTGAATGGAACACCAACCTTCTTCAAAATCACATCAAGATTGAATTGTTGTTATCTTAGTTGTTTATACTTTTTATGTGTAAACTCATTCAAAAGGATTAGCAACACCACCTCAAAAACAAGTCACATCAAGAGATCAGGTAACATACATGGTTCCCAGGCCTCCCTCAAATGTACCATTTTGCTAACAAACCCACTACTGATCAGCAGAGAGCTTTCCCCCACTTAACATTCCTGACTGTCTCAGTTGCCTGAGGCCATGGGGCTTCCATTCCTATCAGTTCTCTCTGCTTGGCTCTGGGGTAGTCATCTCCTCCTGTCTGAGAATCCTAGAGTTGGAAGAGATCACAAAGGCCATCCAGTCCAACCCCCCCTGCCATGCAGGAACTCACAATCAAAGCATCCTCATCATAATTAGCAAAGGGCCACAGTCCTACCAGTAGTTCCCCTCACACCTAGAGTATATACTTTTATTACATGCGCCTCACCTCACAGTGAAGTGACACCGAACTGATGCCAACCCCAAGTCACAAGAACCCCCAATTCCCACCAAACCTGCCAGGCTCACGGTTATGCCAAATGCACAACCTATTCACATAACCTATTTGCTGGACCAGTCCCTTCCCACTAATCCCACCAAATGAAATTTATTTCATTTATTGTGAAATAAATTGGGCACAGGCCATTTAGCATGTCTATACTCAAAACCCATGGCCCCATTAGCCATACCAGGTTGAGTACCCCTTATCCAAAATGCTTGGGACCAGAAGCATTTTGGATTTACACACACACACAGATTTTGGAATATTTGCATATACATAATGAGACATCTTGGAGATGGGACCCAAGTCTAAACAGGAAATTCATTTATGTTTCATATACACCTTATACATACAACAGCCTGAAGGTAACTTTGTATACCACATTTTCAATTATTCTCTGGGTGACACAAAGTTTGTGTACACTGAAACATCAGAAAGCAAAGGTGCCCTATCACAGCCACCCCTCTGGACAATATGGGAGGATTATGGATTTCCAGATAACAGGGACACTTGACCTGTTATCTCCTCATCTCTCACTGAAGACTGAGAGAACCAGGTCAAAAAGGTACTGGATGAAGTGTAAATATTCTGAGGAGGTCCAGAGATAGGACCAAACCAAGTTTGTATTTAATGATACATAATGATCCATAATGGTTGGAGTGAGCCAGTATAGAGTAGTGGTTTGAGTGTTGGACTACAACTCTGGAGACCAGGGCTCGATTCCTTGCCTGTCTGTAAAACCCACTGGGTAACCTTAGGTAAGTCACACGCTCTCAGCCTCAGAGGAAGACAATGGCAAACCTACTCTGAACAAATCATGCCAAGAAAACCCCTTAGGGCAGGGGTAGGCAACCTACGGGCCGGGGGCTGGATGTGGCCCCCCGAGGCCTTTGGACCAGCCCCAGGCTGGTCCTACCGCCGCCACCGCCCACCATGATAATATTGATTATTGTTGTTATTACTTGTTCTTGGGGTTTTCTTGGCAAAATCTCCACAGAGGTTTTGCCATGGCTTTTCTAGGGCTGAGAGAGTGTGCATGCATATATTTTTAATTTTTTAAAATTTTTATTTATTTATTTATTTGGGTGCTTCAGCCCCCCAATTGACTGAGGGACAGCAACCCGGCCCCCGGCTCAAAAAAGTTGCCTACCCCTGCCTTAGGGTCACCATAAGTTGGAAACAACTTGAAGGCACACAACAACAACAAATAGTTGGGAGTATTGGACTACCACTCTGGAGACCAGGATTTAAGTCCCCACTCAGCCATGGATGACCTTAACCAAGTCACACTCTCTCAGCCTCAGAGGAAGACCAGGGCAAACCCTCTCTGAACTAGCCTTACCAAGAAAACCCTGTGCTAGGGTCACCATAGGCATGCCCTAACATTTGTGCATTTGAGCATGAACTATGGCCAAACAAACATGAGTTGTCAGACTTTTCTCTCAGAAAGTAAGACCCATGGAGGGATGCGATATATGTTCATTTAAGCACAGAGTGGAACTATGGCCATAAGAGTGTGAGTTGTCAGACTTTTCTCAGACTGATGGGAGAAATATGTTTACATTTAAATGTCCACCACGACTGCCCACATGAGGGGCTGAACTGGTGGGAGAAACTTCTGAACTGATGGGGCACTCCTCCCTCAACAACATTTCAAAATCTTTATATAATACAGAGCAATGGAGCCAGTGTGGCATAGTGGTTTGAGCACTGGACTCTAACTCTGGAAACCAGAGTTCGAATCCCAGCTGGGCCATGGAAACCCAGAGTGAACTCAGGCAAGTCATACTCTCTCAGCCTCTAGCTGATAAGTGGCAAAACCCCCTCTGAAAAAACTTGCCAGGAAAACCCCAGGATAGGTTGGCCAGCATGATGTAACACTTTGAGCGTTAGGACTGTAACTCTGGAAACCAGGGTTCACATCCCAGCTGAGCCATGCAAACCCTAACCCACTGGGCTGACACCCTCTCAGCCTCAAGAAGATGACAAGGGGCAAACCCCCTCTAAAGAAACCTGCCAAGAAAATCCCAGGATAGCTTCGCCTCAGGATGGACATGACATGAAGGCACACAATATTTAAAGGCCTACTTTCTGTCTTGGCTATCAGTAGTAACAATCATAGAATCATCAAGTTGGAAGAGACCACAAAGGTCATCCAGTCCAACCCTCTGCCAAGCAGGAACTCAAAATCAAAGCATCCCCGACAGATAGCCATCCAGTCTCTGTTTAATGATTTAGGACAGCCATGACTTGAAGGCACAATGTTTACTAGCTCAGGATGACCATGACTTAGGATGGCTATGTTAAACAACATTTAACAACAAAGGGGGAAGAGATTTGGACCCATCTTGTCGATCAGGCAATATCTTTGAACACAACAATATTTAATAATGAAGGTTATACAAATGTTTAATAACTTAGGATGGCCATGTTAAACATTTAGCAACGAAGGGGGAAGGGATTTGGACCCATCTCTTCGATCAGGCTGTATCTTTGAGCACAATGTTGAATAACGAAGGTAATACCAATGTTTAATAACTTAGGATGGTCATTCAAAGATATAGTCATGTTAGTCTGTATAATCAGTATATATAGAGATTTTATAACACCTTTTAAGATTAAATGAAAGAAAGAAGTTAGCAGTATGAGCTTTCGTAGACTTCAGTCTACACTCATCTCAGACACTGACCTTAGAATTGCACTGGAGGAACTACAAATGCCTAGTGGAGTGTTCTCTCTAGGAATCTCTAGGTCCTTTTGGTGCAATTTTTAGTTAAAGTTAACCAGAGAGTTGCGCTGGAGGACCTTGAGAATCCTAGAGAAAACATATTAATAAAACCCATGAGTCAAAGTCGCCAATGTGGAAGGACAAGTGCACTTCTTCAAATGCTCTTAGCATCGTAGCATTTTATTCTTAGCATTTTAGGACAGCCATGCTAAACAACGTTTAAAGAACACGGCTGTATCTTTGAATTCTACCACGTTAAACGTTTAATAACGTGGTAGAATTCAAAGATGTTAGTCTGTAGAATACCTTGAGAGACCTTGTAGCACCTTTGAGAATGACTGAAATAAAGACATGGGACACATGAGCTTTCGTAGACTTCAGTTTACTTCCTCAGATGCATTTGCATCTGAGGAAGTAGACTTAAGTCTGAGAAAGTTCATGCTGCTCATTTCTTTCTTCCAGTTAGTTTCAAGGGTGCTACAAGATCTCTCAACGTTTAACAGCGAAGGGGAAAGAGATTTGGACACATCTTTTGGGCCACTATCAACGAGAAGAGCACATTTTTGCGCGCGCTCTCCCTCGTCCCCTCAGACGACGCGCCGAGAAGAGTCTGGAAAGCTGACTGGAAACTCTCTCTCTCTCTCTCTGTCGGGCTCGAGAGAGAATTTCCAGTCAGCTTTCCTGACTCTTCTCGGCGCGTCGTCTGAGGGGACGAGAAAGAGCGCAAAAATAGGGCGCCCGGTTTTTGAGGGAGACGGAAGAGAGGCGGTTAGCTTGGGACAGGCCTCTGTCTCTCTCTCTCTCTCCCTCAGAAAACAATGCACATAGTTCGCACTGAGGTGAGAGACTTTCCAATGAGGGAAATAAGAAGAAGCGCGGGGCGGCGGGAAGCGGGGGGGCAATGGAACGCCGGGTCCCCTCAACGGTCGCCGGGGAGCCGTTGGGCCGCGCATGCGCACTGGGCGGGGGGTTGGCCGTTCGCGGCCCCCTCAGCGTTCCAAAGCCGTTGCTGTGTGTGTATTTGTGTGTGTGTGTTTACAAACAACCCCTCCCCCCTCCGTGGTTTTAAATAAATATATATATCTACAACACGCGCGGGCCCCCCCGCTCACTCTACC